AGTGCAACAAATTTTACAAGAGACATATTCCACTCCAATTGGTGGTCATCATGGAGTGCAGAATGTGGAACCAATGCACTCTACGAAGAATATAAAGGTTCAACGATTTTGATTATAACAAACAAGCATGGAAAGAAAACTTCAAAGTGCAACCATAAAAAAAAAGTCTACAGAAGATCAAGACTCAAGCTTCAAAAGAAGACTCTAAGTCCAAGCAATCTTAAAGTAATATATCTTAGGACATAGGATTATTTGAAAGGGAAATTGATTTCTTACGTGAACGAAGCTCAAAGTATTTTTCAAATACATGCATGAGTCTTAGCTTGAAAATCTATTTTTAAATATTTATCAAATATTGAAAAGTATTTGAAACTGATTTAAATCAAGAGAAAACCATTTTGGGGCGAAAACCAACATTTCATCAGGTTGGTAATCGATTACCCAAGCAATGGTAACCAATTACCCTTCATGGTAATCGATTACCCGTTGTGCAGAAGATAAAATAACGGCTATAAAATGGCTAATTTGCGAAAATGAGTAGAAAAACTCCCATGGGGCCCTCTATAAATAGAGATTACTGTTCCATTGATTGGACAACTTTCTTGATCATTATTACTCATTTAAATCATACTACTTGCTTTATTTTTGTCTTCTTGATCATAAATTCTCTTTGAGCTTTATTCTTGTGAGAGTGTCGACACCCATAGTTCTTCAACTTGTATAATCTGTACTTTGAGAGTACTTACCCATTGTTAAATACCTTCATTTGATTTCTTGAATAGTTAGGGGAGTGAACCCTTTACACTTGAGAAGTCACCAAATTCCTAAGGAAATTTGGAGTAAAAAATTGTAAGGCATCAAGAACTCGAAGTCTTGAAAAATTGTAGTGGTTTGTCAAGCACCTTCAAGCTTGATAGTTAGTGAAAAGTTTGATCGAGCGGCTTCATTCTGGACGTAGGTCACGGCGGTGGTGACCGAACCAGGATACATCTAGTTTGCAATTTCTCTAACCTTAAACTCCTTACTTTAGCATTGAAATTACATTTTTAGATTGTGTCTATTTATTTGCTTGCTTATTTTATTGATCACACACTTGCTCTCACACTTAGATTTTTCCTTATTAAATCATTTTATTGAAGAAACACTCTTTAAAATATCAAAGGAGGCACTTTGTCAAAAGATTTTGTAAAACTTAATTCACCCCCCCTCTTGAGTATTAAAGCCACTTGTCCAACACAGAAAACCTTGGCCCGAACTACAATTGCATTTACACGGCTAGGTTTGCATAAGGATGTCAAAAAATTTGTTAATCAATGTTTGATTTGCCAACAATCTAAATATTCCACTCAATCTCCCGCGGGCTTGATCCAACCTATTCTTATACTAGAAAATATTTGGGAGGATTTGACTATGGACTTCATCATAGGCTTCCCAATTTCTAATGGTTATACTACTGTCTTGGATGTAGTTGACAGGCTATCTAAATATGCTCATTTTGGTGCATTACCCAACAAATTTAATGCAACAAAGGTAGCACTGTTATTTTCTCAAATGATTTGCAAGTTACATCAAGGTCACTCATCTCTGATCGTGATCCAGTGTTCTAAAGTAAGTTCTGGACAAAATTGTTCAAATTAAGCGGCACAATCTTAAAGAGAACGACTGCTTATCACCCTCAATCGGATGGGCAATCAAAAGTGGTGAATCGTACACTAGAGCAATACTTACGTTGCCTTGTAGCTGACTACCCCAAAAATTGGTTCAACTTATTGCACTGGTTAGAATTTAGCTATAATACAATTTTTCATTCTTCTGCAGGAATATCCCCTATCAAGGCTGTTTATGGTCGAGAGCCTTCATCCATGTTAGATTATCTACCTTCTTCAACTTCATTAGAAGAGGTGGACATGATTTTATGTATTAGACAAGAGGTACTATTGGCATTGAAGAAAAATTTGCAACATGCCTAACATAATATGCAGAAGCATGCTAATCACTATCGCAGGGACATCCATTATAAGATTGGAGACCTGGTATGGGTGAAATTACAACCCTACCGCCAAACTTCAGTGGCTAGCCGTATGTCCAACAAGCTTGCAAGGAAATACTTTGGTCCTTTTGCTATTCTCAAGCTAGTAGGTCAAGTTGCCTATCAATTGGACTTGCCAACAGCAGGTAAAACATATCACACTTTCCATGTTTCATTGCATAAACCATTTAAAGGAGATGCTATGACTCAACAGTTTCCATTACCAGAGGTGTTTACTAGTGACCATCCCATTTTGGAACCACATCAAATCCTCCAGCGACGAGCATCAGCAGAAGATGGAACTCCTTGTGAACAAGCGCAGGTTCTTTGGGCAAGCATGGCCTAGGAAGTTATTACATGGGGGGATTCAAAACAATTTCGCAATTTCAACCTTGAGGACAAGGTTAGGGAGCAAAAGATGCAGGAAGGAGCTGAAAGTGAAGCTCAAAAGGGAAGCATTGTTGATAGAAGGACAAGAAGAATTAAGAAGATACTACTTAGATACCGTAGTGATGTGTAGAATGATAAGTCAAATAAGACAGTTAGTTAGTTAGGCAAAATAACTGACTTTTGTAATAGAGGACTCTTCCATCTTCGGTTGATATAAGAAGAGGAGAAGGTAATCAAAGGGGGACTTTTGAACTCTTGAATAATAACAAAATTCTTTTCTCATCTTCTTTGTATTCTTTCTTCCCTCTCCACTGTTCTATCAGATAAGATTGCCTATCAAATTGCTTGAACAAGCTGCTGACGCAAAACACCCTTCACAACTACTGAAAAGGGCACCACATTCTTTTGTTCCTCATCTCTCTTAATATGTGACTGACACTTATTTAAAGGTGGTAGCAAGTGATCAAATCCAACATATACCCAATAGTCCACAATAGGGGCAAACATGCCCATCACTTCATCATTCACATATCCTTCCCAGAAAACCATTATAAAAATATAAAAGTAGAATCAACTCAAATTTGTAAGCAAGAAAAATAGCCCAACCCATAAACAAGCTCAACAAGTCAAAGCTGCATTATAGCTAAAGATCTTAGCTTCGACAAGTTCCTTCTTCTCCCTGAAAAGGAAAACCAAAACTGATAATTTCTTTCACTAGATAGAAGAAGAAATAAAATAATGAAAATAATTCAAATGAAATTTAATTTTAACATTTTTGGAAGTTTCTTCTTCGGCAAGTTCCTCTGTTTACTGAAACCGCCTCCGAACATTATTTTTGGGTGGTTCAATTCTAACCGCCTCTGTTTTACAAGAAATCAACGATGACTTCCCATATCCGACGTCCCACCCGCCTGGAGTTCTTGAAATTTGAAGTCGGTGAAGCCCAAACGCCAAGCATCCGTCTCAGAATACATTTAAACAAAGGCGATTATTATAAAATGCCACCGTATTCGACGGTTGTGATCCCAAAAGTCGTCGGACTTGTTAACCGCCCAAAAGACGGCCTGAAATGTTTCTTCAGAGGCGGTTTACTAGTAACCGCCTAAATACATCCGATGACAAATGCCACTTTTCTTGTAGTGACACTAGCTTTTAACTATGTTGTTTGAAGTTTAGTCCTCAATATTTACTTAAAAAATTATTATTAAAATAATAAATTTAATGATAAAATATTATAATAATATTTACTATTGAAATAGTAATTTTAATAATAAAATATTAAAATAATATATATGATTATTTGAAATAAAAAATAAAAATATTCTTTCTCACAAAACGCGAGAGACAATATCACTTAGAAACCTACTTATACTTTAAAAATATTCAAACCGATATCAAATAATGCAGTATATTTTTCTCTAAAAGAAATTAATTTAATTATGCTCAAATTATATATTTGGAAAATTTATATTTTCTACTAAAGTAGGAATTAAATTTTAATTGTCTCGTAAGGTAGACCTATTTTTTTTTTAAATATTATTTTTTACTATTCTCACTTTTAAAGGATGTTACAAATTGTAGCAGCAAATGAAGTTCCTTATTATCATCATCCTTTTCAAAATTACTAATTTATCTTATTATTTGTAATGTTATATCATTATTTGATATTATTCCTTGCATATATGGTGCTAACCTAGTTATTTATGTGTATGGCTGATAAACCCCTGCTAATATAATTACGAGCCTTTGCACAGGCAAGAAGACCACTTTACTTTATCTGTTCAAAATGGACAATAAACATGTTCTGCTATATTTTTATGGAAAAAAGTATGTAATGTTACTTTAGATAATTTTGTCTAATGTTCATTGAAATGATGTCATTTTGGGATTGAAAAATAAAAAAATTAGAATGATAATAACCCTGAAATAAATTTAAATTACAAAAATACCATGATTTCCGTCCAAAACGACATTGTTTCGGTGAACATTAGATAAAGTTATCTAAAGTAACTTTAGAAAAAACAAACCCTATTTTTATAGCACTCTCTTTATTTTTCTAGCAATTGGGGTTTTACTTTAGTATATTTAATCCTATTATTGATTGGCAGATTTACAATCCGCAACGTGTCTTAGTTAGAGAAAGTGCTTAGTTCTTGATAGACAGCAGCACATAAGACATTGTTTTGAGGTTATTGAATTTGATTTGTAGGAAACAAATAGAAAGGAATAAAACATGATGTAGCAACTATTTAATATAGGAAATTTAATATATATACTATGTGCATCAATCTTTTTATATATCCCCAAGTAGCCATTTGTTTTTTCGGCCGGCTTATTACACACTTTTGTATTTGACCATGCATGTTGACAAACTTGGGATACATGTTTAGACTAATGGTCATGATCTCTAATGTCATTTTTCATTGGAGGCATGCTAGAAACCACTCCTACTTTTTTTAACAATGACACAGTTTATATGAATATATCAAACTAATCAGTTTGATTTTGCTACCCTCTTTTATTTTGTTTCTCCTTCATTCTGCTCTTTGTAACTTACTAGTGACTACTGAGAATTCACTTCATGGGAAGTCATATACTTATCAATAAGATTATGATACATCTTTGGTGCGTTGCTTGGATGTGCATAAGTGTATGCACTGCTCACCTGTACTATGACTCTTCTGATTGTAATTCAAATGAAACATTCCTAGGGTCAAGGTACAGTTGCAATTCAACGCAGGATTCATGCAAAACATTCTTGGTGTATAGAGCTAATAAGCATTTCCAAACAATTTCAGATATCTCAAAGCTCTTCAACATGAACACTGATGAGGTGCTTCAAATAAACAACCTTACATCATCTTTTCAGGTACTCAAACAAGGTAAAGAGGTTCTTCTTCCTGTAGTTTGTACCTGCTCTGGCCAATTTTATCAAGCCAGTTTCAGCTATAAAGTCCCTGAAAGTACAATATTTTCCAAGATTGCTTGTGGGGTTTTTGAAGGGTTGCTGAAAGCTATCACACTGGCTGAGGAAAACCTTCCACAAGGTAATAAGCCCAAAGCTGGTTATGAGCTTAATGTGCCTCTAAGATGTGCATGTCCTAACAATTTCACCAGTAGCAAGAGGGTGAAGTACCTTGTTACATACCCTATAATACTAGGAGATGATTCAGATAAATTGACTAAGAAATTTGGCATGTCATTTGAAGATTTCTTGGCAGTTAATCACTTGGATCCCAGGTCAACTCTTTTCCCTGAGACAACTGTTTTAATTCCATTAAGGGATGGTCCAATCAGAATGTTTGACATTCCAGATTCTCCTTCTCCACCTCCTGGTTTTCTTCCCACAAATCCAGTGGCTAATACACAAGAATCTACACAGCCATCAAATTTGTCTATTGCAGGACCTATTATAGGATTTTTGTTGATCATAACATTGCTTGCAAGTGGACTTTACATGAAGAGAGTGAGAAAAAGTGATGTTGTCCACTCCTTCAATATAACAAACTTCAATAACTTGTGGTCACCAATTAGAAGCTCTCCTATATCTACCTTAACAGGTAGAAGCTCTACAACTTCGTGTCTATCTCCTGATATTCTTGCTGGAATAAAGTACTGCTTGCTTAATTACCGCATAGAAGAGCTTGAAAAGGCCACCAATAATTTCAGTGAAGAAAACAAGATTGGTCATGATTTAGTCTATAAGGGCTTAGTCAGTAATCTAGAGGTGATGATAAAAAGGATGAGGTTTGAAGACACAAGCAAGGTAATTGATTTACATTCAAAAATCAATCATGTTAATATTGTGAACTTAATTGGTGTTTCTTATGGTGAGAGCAATGCTTCATGGTCTTATCTAGTTTTTGAGTTGCCTAAAAATGGCAGCTTGAGGGACTGCATATCTGATCCATACAATGCTCTAAACTGGGACAGAAGGACACAAATAGCCTTTGATATTGCAACATGTCTTTACTATTTACATTGCTGTTTTTTTCCTTCCTATGCTCACATGAATGTCAGTAGTAGAAATGTTTTCATAACAGCAAATTGGAGGGGGAAATTGGCAGATGTTGGTAGGGCATTGGCTAACAGTGACAGACCAATCAAAAGAAATGAAAGTACAGAAATTCCCAAAGGATTGGTGGCACCAGAGTACCTCATGCATGGCTTAGTTTCTGAAAAGGTTGATATTTTTGCATTTGGGGTTGTCTTGCTTGAGTTGATATCAGGAAGAGACAACTTTGATGGAAAATCAGTCAAAGATTCCCTTGGATTTTTGTTGGGGGAAGCCAGTGAAGGGGGTTGTTTTGAAGGATTAAGGAGTTTCATGGATCCTAATCTGAAGGATTATTCTCTTCCAGAGGCTTTATGTTTGTCTTTTTTAGCAAAGGATTGTGTGGCAGATGATCCTCTGCATAGGCCAACCATGGATGATATCATGAAAGTCCTCACAAAAATGGTTTAGCCAAAAGCAGAATAATTAGCTAAAATTAAGTTTGTAATTATGAAAAGTCATTTGTAAGAAATATTGTCCTGGCTCACAAGTAGCACTTGCTTCTTCCTATTACTTATTTCCATCTCTTTTCATGTTTCTCATTATTAATATTGATATAGCTTTATATGCTAGTTAATTGCTTGGTTGGCCAAAGCAATTGTTTAATCCAAGATTGATTCTATCATTTTTAAGAGAGAGGTTTTTCTATCTATCATCTTTTTCTGTCTACTTTTGTCTACCACCCTCCAACACCGTTAGATCAGAATCTCAAGAAGAGAGAAAGATAAATGTTAGTTAAGATTCTGATCTAACGGTGTTGGAGAGTGGTAGCAAAAAAAAAAATGATAGATAAAATAACCTATCTCCATTTTTAAACTAAATAATTAAAGATTTTTTGTCATTTCATAGTTGACCTTTAGTTTTGTCTTCAAACTTTGTCCTAGAACACAAATGAATCAACTAAACGTTTAGTCATTTGGAGGATATTAGAGAAGCAGATTCCATATTCATTAATGGCTGTATGTGGCAATTGGCAAATTGGCATGCGTCAGCTATCTTTGTGCAATTGTCTATATCACAGGACTACTTATTGTTATGGTGAATTATATCACAGGACATTACTAACCTTAAGCTAATTATCATCTTTCTTCTTCTTTTTTCCAATTCCTCTTTCTCATTTAATCTTAGTAGAGACGGCAATAAGCTCCTAAAAGTGTTCCAAATGTCACGTCTCACCTAATGAGGTTATTCAACTCTCTTGAATCTTCACCCTATTCGTTAAACACTTGTATTGTTGATATAGTTTTCAAGTGACATCTATGTCTGGCACTTTCACAAAGCAAGCAAATATCCACAAGTTAAAATAAATGAAAAATAACATAATTCCTAGAGCCAGGTATGTTTAATCACTATTATAATTTATTGTTCACAAGTGCGGGTCCAAAAATTACTTAGTGGGAGTAAAAATAATTAAAGTTGAAATAATTGAATAAAAAATTAAATTTCCAAAATCATAAATATTATACATTCATCAAAGTTGCACACAATATTTCTTTATATCATAAAATAATGGTGTCACCAACAGATTACAAGAAATTTGATTATAGAGCTATATATAGTATTAATTTATGGATTTTATTAATCTCATATTAAAGAAGATAAACTTGTGGGCTTCACCACCTGAAAAATAAAAAGAAAAGAAAAGAAAAGAAAAAGGTGGCACATTTATCGAAAGATGTATAGGAGATAAATTTACCACATGTAGCATAAGAGTAATTTTTCCCTTAATTTATTTACCTTTAGAGACGATTTACTTCTCTTTTAACTTTCATGATCATTTCACTTTTTTTATTTACATTTTAAACATAATAACTAGTATTGTGAACACTTAAATTTTTTTTAGAGTTAATTGAATCTCTGTTAGTTAATTCACAAATTTGATGGTTAGAATTATACTCTCTCAAATAAAATATGTTACCCAATTTTTCGCCAAGAAAGAATATATATTATACAATTGTAAAATCCATTATCATTATCAACAACACCTTTATCCAAAATTAGTTGGGATGGGTGGCTACGATTGTAAAATCCATTTTCAAAAAATTAAGTATTATCTTTTTTTTCTTTCCACAAATATCCCCATCCATTTGGATAAAGACTGTGTCACAAGGTTGAAGCCTTAGTTTCAATTTGATTTTTGACTAAGAAAAATAAATGTAATGCAACTTTAATTTAAAGGCTAATTTAATGACATTTAACATAATAGTATAATTAAATTGATGACTTTAAAAAAAAGAATTAAATTGATGACATTTTATATAATGACCCTAACTGGTAAATTTTAGTTAGAGATTTAATTTAAGGATTTAAATGCCATAATTAGATTCAGTGAGCGATTTCGAGTATTTTGACTGTAATCATGACTATGTTATGAACAGTGCGTTCTGCCGGAGAATTTACAGTTTTGTGAATTAACCGGTAGAGCTTAAAATGAGCAAAATAATTTTAGGAACATAATTTGAAAATTCTGATGACAAATATGAGTTCAGAACGAAAAATTGTATAGTCTGGCACTTTCCGTGAAAATCTCGTGAATAGTGTTTCTACCGGGTATTTTGTACTGCTGTTTAAGCAACCGGTAGAGTCCAGAAATAAATAATTGATGAAATAAGAATAAGAAAGTCCAATATATGCCAAGAAAGTCAATATAGGCCCAAGAAAATGATAAGTTTATAAGTTTTAAGTTTCGTAAGTAAAGGAAGTACAATTAGTGATGCACAGTGCATTTCGTCAAAAACGGTGCAAAAACCATACTGTGAATTATGAATATTGTTCCTTAGGAAATAAAAATTAATGTAAATGATTTTAGGAAATAAAAAATATGTTTGTAGCTTTGAGTTAGTTCCGGGTCAATTTAAGTTAAAATACGCGATAAAAAAACATCCGATGAAAATGGCCACATGTGCCTATATAGCCTTGTCACTTAAATGAAACACTATTCATTTCAGATTTTCTTCTTCTCTCTCTTGCATGGCCGAGCTGCACATGGAGGGGAAGGGGCTAGAGTTTCAAATTTTCCTTCTTTGATTTCTTCATCATCCATCCACCAAATCCAATGACCCACCACATGAAATTGATTGGAAACCACTCAATGAATCCATTCCACCTATCCATTTGAGCTATAGTTGAGTGTGTGAAGAGTTATTCCTCCTCTCATTTTCGAGTTACTATTCATTGGAGGAGAAAAAGTGAGTTTTTGGATGGAGCTTGGCTTGGAGATTGCTCTCTAGGCTTTGTACAAGTGTTTAGAGGTAAGAAACCTCTATTTCCATGATATTATTTTGATGATTTAAGTTATGAAATTGATGAGCATATTTTGTTGGGAAATAATTGATGTTAGAATGTGAAATTTATGATGGATTATTGTTGTTTAGGAAGTTATAGTGTTGAGTAAGCATCCACATGTGATATAAAAATTTAAAAGTCCTATTGCATATTCCTCCTAGGTTTCGGCCATCATGGAGTGAGTAGGAGTTATTGTGGAAAAAATTATATTATGTATTGTGAAGGTATAGTGTGTTGGAAATGAGTGAAAATGGATGAGTTAGTAAGAATGCCTAAGTAAAAAGGACTTGGTGTCTAAACTCAAAATAGGAATTTAGTGGAAGCATTCCTAGGTGTTTGCAAGTTATAATGAAGTAACGAAAATGCATTGTAAAAGAGAAGGATCTTTGGAAATTCCCCTTGTAGGATTCGACCTATAGGGTATTTAGGGACATATTTTGTACATTTTATTTTAAATAAAATGTGTTGTAATAAATTGTATAAAGGTGATGAGTTTTGAAGAAAAATAGCATGATTTATGTTGAAAATTCCTAAGGGAATGGTTGATTAAATTAAAGAACACCAACGGTTATAAAGAGGTCTAGACTTGTGTATTGGCATAGGATTGGCAAAAATGCAAAGAAAGGAAAATAAGCGATAAAATGTATGCTTATGAAATAATTATGGTATTGCATCATTTTATTGATGCATTGTAAATTATTCTCTAGGTGTGCCTAGGGATTGAGAAGGATCGGAAATCTCTTGAAGCGATAAAAGTAACTTGTTCCACAAGTAAGCGTATTGGTAAAGCTTCAAGAGGTAAGCTCTATGTTTAAGGAGTCTTTTCCTGCTTGAGTGCTCCACCATGGTTAGTGAACTATGGTTGGACTGTATGACTGTGATTTAGATGCTTTGTATAGATGCATTCATATAGAGTTATTTGATAACATGATATGTTTTGCTCTGATGTGACTTCTGTAATTTGATTTCTGTAACAATCTCTGGCCATTGATTGTATAGTACCCGGACGTCCGCTTTGGGGTCCTCCCTCGGGACTGATGGTGTACTCCTCTGATATGTCTGGTTCCGCTTTGGGGTCCTCCCTCGGGAACACGTGCGTTGATTTCCGCTTGGGGTCCTCCCTTGGGAATGACGGCGCACATCTCTGATATGATATGGATATATGCTCTGTTCTGTTATGATATCTGTTATATGTTGTATTTGTATACTCTGTATTTGACTTTCATGCAGGAGTGAGCCAGGGGTATGGAGAATTCTCTATAAACTTGGAGCTTATTGAGATTTGTAATCTCACCCCTCTTTGGGGACACATTTTCAGGTGCCCAGATTTCCGGTGAGTCCTCACTAGGCAGGGACACGACACGTGGCTGAGGCAGTTGACAGACCGGATTTTGAGTGGCTGTAGGCTGCTACCTTTTTGGAGTGTTTGATGTATTTTAGTATTTTCGCATTTGATGGATCATGATATTGATCCTTTATTTTGTATATGGCCTGTATATGTTTTGTACATGTCTGTCAGTTTGATGCATGTACATTTGAGTATTCAGGAACGTTATATGATGATGTAGTATTCAGATAGGTTTATGTTTTGATGGCATGCTGTTAGATTTAGTGGCACGGAGCCATGTTATGCATGCGCCCATGTATGGGTATTCGATTATATTTGGATATCTGGTATTTCCGAATTGATATGTTGTATACTGTTTATCAGGAAATGCTTCTGAGTGGGATTGGAAAATCCCCAGTTGTCCGATTTATAGAGGAAACTCTGCCCGATTTTCGTTTACGCCGAGAAAGAATTAAGTTAGAAAAAGAAAAAGTTAGCTCATATTTTCGTAAGTTAAGTCTTCCGCTGTTTTCTGTTTTATCATATGTATGTTAATTGAACCGGCTCGAGACGGGGATGTTACATTTATGGTATCAAAGCAGTTTCTCTAGGAGAGCCTGTGAAATATTGCATGAACTGTTCGGGTTGTTATGTTCTTGAGTTTTTCTTGGAATACTATGATATGCATGTCTGATCACCGAGTGTGAGCGTAGCTAACTCATTCCTTTGTGTGAAATATGCAGAATTATGGTTCGCCCAAGAAGGACTTCTGATCCTCCTATTGACCCGACCGATCCAA